TATATAAATAAATATAATTTTGAGAATAATGTGACACTCTGTGTTTTTGTGCTATATATATATATATATATATATATATATATATATATATATATATATATATATATATATATATATGCACCTGATACTGTGTCAAAAAATATAAAGAATGACGTTTTGCCCGGACCAGTACAAAACAGGTGGTACATACCAGTCCGAGCATTACTGGTATGCGACCACGGCCCAATCTACCCAGGTCCAATCTGCCCATATAAAAAGGAAGGGTGCAGTCCATATATTAACCCTAATCTTCTCGTGCACGCCACACAACATCTCTGCCACACACAACTGTCTACACCTCCACCACAGCCTCGTTACACACCTGTGCCATACACAACAGCCTATAGGTATCTTCTCATGTTCCTTCTCTTCTTACCTCTTGCTTCTTACTGCTCTTCCTCTCCCATCTCCTCTACTTCCTTCCTCTTCCTCCTCTTCTCTTTATTTTCTTTCCTCTCTGAAGCACCGGTACGTCCCGATGCTCCGACGCATGGTAGACCGGTACTGCCCGGTATGTAGCGGTCCGATCAGATACCTAAACAGGTGAATGAGTTACATATAAAACCAGTGCAATGAGATCCGCATTGCTTAACCAAGATCATAAATGTTGCAGTAGCGGAGATACTAGCTTTCAGAGACATATCCAACAAGAATACAAGCCCTAACCTAATTAATTGATAGGATCTTTCCCCATCCGCATCTTAGAACTCCAAGATCCGCGATGCCATGTATCAATTAAAGCTAAATCCTTCAAGAATCTGAAGATTGCGACTGATACAACACACAGGTTAAACCCTACTTGGGATGTCTCGATCAGGGGACTTCAAGAGGCGCATCACAAAGATAAAGCAACCCATTGCGATAAAGATCACGGGATCAGATCCGCAGCAGCAGTTAGTTGGCAACGAAGAAAGAACGAGAGACGTACCAAATTGGAGGAGGAAGTCGAAGAGGCGGCGGACGTTGAGGGAGATGTTGGAGATGAACTCGCGGTTCTCCCAGTCGGCCTGGACGGCGATTCCCACGTTCACCGCGTTCGTTATCCCTCCCGCCCTCGCCATCCCAAATCGCGATCGGTGGGAAGACGGTGGATGAGAGCAGTAAAAGAGCAGCAGCGAAGGATAAAAGTCGGTGGGGGAAGATAAATGTTTTCTATTATTATTTTGCGAAATTTGATGTACGATATGAAAAGTTAGCGTAATATTTCGATTTATTTCTACGTGGAAAAGATAAGATGGGATTTATATATGTTTAAATATTTTAGACTAATGATTTAGGTTTAACGAAACTAATAAGTTAATTATCGTCGTGACAAATTAGGATGAAGATTAAGCCAATAATGCATATTATATCTACGTATGAGAATTCAATTTACTCGTAAAAATTTGAGAGTTTAAAAATCAAGATATATAACTAAAGATTTGGAGTGCGATAGAAATATCTTAAAAATAAATTTTATCAAAAATAAAAATTAAGGTAATTAATACTTTAATGAGTAAATGATCGAACCTTAGCGACATCTCGACTACGATAGATGAGTCGAGTGATTAATTACATGACAAATGAATATGATAATGACGATGAGGGTGGTCAAGAATAATCTCATCTTTTAAAAAATAAAAATTTCATCTTAAATTATTTATATATTATTTAATATAAAAAAGGGCCCGAGTTCTTTTTTTAGACAAAGAATAAATGGTGATGAATGAAACTAATATCAACCTTATGGTAATACGATAAATTTTTACCAATTAAATCATATAGCACCTTCAAATATTATCGATTTTTAACTTTAAATCTTAATCTCATTATTTTAATGTATTGGTAATAGAGAATCGATTCTAAGGTCGTAACTTATGTCGGTGTCGATGCTTGACCGGGTGGACGGTTGGTCTCCTCCTACTACCTCGTTTGGCCTTTTGAGTGTCGGAGGAAATGCTTTGGCCAAACAAGAAGCACTTTTTGGGTACAGCATTAAAAAAAGAATGAATTAAGAAAACGTTGCGAGGGACCAAAACAAAAATGTTTGTCTTATTGATCAACATTGTATGTCCGATTAGGACAACTCCACGACAAATCATGTGTCTATACGTGTTTGGATGCTATTACAGCTGTTTCCTATGGCATTTACTCTCTCTCTCTCTCTCTCTCTCTCTCTCTCTCTCTCTNTATTTATATATATAATATATATATATATATATATATATATA